CTTTCTGGGCATGTTCATCTGGGGCGATTGAGAATGCATCTGGCCTCAGTTATGGCCACATTCAGTGAAGATCATTATAATGGGAGCGGGCAGTAGGATGAGATGTGATATCAATCGCTGTGTCTCGTATGAAGTGTTGAACCGTCCATAGGTGTCCCAAAGGACTGCATGCTGCGGCGAGGTCCCACTATCACAGAGGATTGGATTTAAATTTTAAACCACCAAAAAAAAAAAAAAAAAAAAAAAAAGTAAATGCCCCCAGCCAAGTTGAGAATCACGATGGAGTCTCGCCTATAAAATTTTGGAGGCTCGGGAGAGGGCGTCCCAAGGACCAGTAGGAAAAGGAAACTGCCCCATGCCGTGGGGTGGCCCTAGGCTCAGCCCTTAACAAAAAAAGAATCCGGCCCTCCCCCAGGAGGGCTGTCCTGAGTCCCCTATGAGGGCTGATGCAGAAAAAAACGTGATGGATCTGCTTTTCTGCATCTCCGCTTTGAACTCATCCAGATTCCGCTCTTTTTTTTTTTTTTTTTGGGGGGGGGGGGGGGGGGGGAAAGGAAAAGGAGGCTAAGAGCAACTGGTGCCGTCTGGCGGTTGAATTTCAGGTCCATTGCAAGCAGAGCATTTTTTTGCATCTTCACGCTCGCTTGTGATCTCCGCTTGCAAGGCAGTCTTCTCGACTCTTCTGACAGTTGTTGGGTTCTGCGACGCTTGCTTTGTTTCCACATCCAGGTGATGTCAGTTGCAGATATGCTGTTGCTTGAGGACCTTAAGGTGAGTGGTCTTCTTCTTCTTTTTCTTCTTCTTCTTCTTCTTCTTCTTCTCCTCCTCCTCCTCCTCTGCAGCATTAGCCAGCTCGCTTATGACGAGATCCAGAGCTCGTCCCACTCTTCACCTGTGTGCCTTCCCTTGGAGTGCCTGACCTCCTCTCAGCTGCTGCAACTGTCAGGTTTTCGTTATATTCTGGAGCGACTCCGTCCTCCTAATGTGGGTCTGTCTCCTCGTCTGTCTACCTTTACTACTGCTCTACTGTGCCCTGCTCTTCTACCCCCGTAGCCTTCCACCCTCCTTACCTTCTCCTCTTCTCTCATCTTTGTCTATGTTTCGTCTCGGTTTCCGTTCTCCCCTGGTCCTTTTTCTTAAACCACCAGTACATGGCCCCAGCCAAGTTGAGAACCGCGACTGAGCCTCTACCAAAATTTCGGAGGCTCGGGACTGGGCCTCCGAAGGGTGGGTGGAAAAAACGAAAATCCGGTTGCCCCCAGACGGGCCCTGTGGAGGGCTGCGAATAGTTCAGTCGGTACCTCAAGGCCCTGTGGAGTGTGCCTTCCCTGGCATGAACTGTTGAAAAGTAGACATGAGTTTGAATTCTGGTGGTCTCAGATGAATCTAAATGGGGCCGATCAGTTCAAAGACGATATCTCAAGGCCGTTGCCCTTTTCAAAGAGAAAAAAAGGGGGGGGGGGGGGGAAACGATGGGAATGCAGCCGCGGTTTGGCAAAATAGGTTTGGGGGAAAAGTGGCTGGCTGTTTGACTCGTCAGTCTCGTTTCCCCCCCATTCATCCTTCCTCCTCTCGTCCTCTTCCCCCTTCCGTCCTTCTCCTGCTTCTCCCCCTTGCTGGCTGGTGCGCCCATACCCAAGCTCCGGGTGATCAGCTCACTCTCTGCCTCCATTTTGGATTGCAGGTCATTACCTGGCAATTGCCCGCATGCACGTGTTTTTTTTTTTGTTTTTTTTTTTTTCGCACATGTTGAATGTCTGGAGAACATGGAAGTATTCACTTTCTTGCTTTTGAATAAATCCCCTCTCCCCCCGCCCTACGAAGGAAAAAATGCCTAAACACCCGGAAGCGTCGTTTTTGCAGCTGTCTTCCGTGCATTCAGGGCATGCGCAGGACGGCACCGACTTCCATTTTTCCAAAACTCAGCCGGTGGGCTGCTGCAGAGTACCGACAGCAGATCGGTTGACGTCGGCCGCCGACTGATATGCTACCCTTGGACCTCAGTCATTTCACAATCTGGTGAGACTCTGAGGCTGTCTCCGTACATTCGGGGCATGTGCAGGACAGCCCCACCTCCCATTTTTCCAAAACTCAGCTGGTGGGCTGCTGCAGATCACCGACAGCAGATCGGTTGACATCAGCCGTCGACTGATATGCTACCCTTGGACCTTTTAGTCATTTCACATGCAATCTGGTGAGACACTGAGTCTTTCCGTTCAAGGACCAGTTCCACATAAAAGCTGTGGGATTGCACTCGCGCCCACCGTTTTCACCCGAATGGAATGCCCAGTCATTATCTCTGTATCAAGACTGAAAGTTGCCCCAAATGCAGCTATGATGACCAGGCATTCTATTCGGGCGAAGATGGTGGGGGCCCGACTATGTCGGTAAGAACATGATTGCTTTACATAGTGACTGAAACACAGGAGTATGTGCTTGATGTGCTCAGGGGATCGGATAATAACTCTCTCTGGAATATGGAGGGAAAATGGGGAGAGGAAATGGAAATTTTCCACTTGCTGACAAGGGACCTAGACAAAGGCTTGATGTTTCTAAGAAAGGAAGTATGCAGAGGAGCTTGTGGGAAGTTTTTCATTGTCTGCTCTGTCCCCCAAACCACTGAAAGAGAGTTTTTTCTTTTTTGCACTGTTCCTGTGTTCAAAAGCTTGAATGTGAGCGGCACCTGAAGGATGCTGTTGGAGTTGAAAACTGCTGTGCATTTCTCCAGAGTGCTGATAGACATGGAGCATCTGCTCTACGTGCCCATTGCCTCAGGTACACTCTCTCTCTCTCTCTCTCTCTCTCTCTCTCTCTCTCTCTCTCTCTCTCTCTCTCTCTCTCTCTCTCTCTCTCTGTGTGTGTGTGTGTGTGTGTGTGTGTGTGTGTGTGTGGGTGGGTGTGTGTGGGTGTGTGGGTGTGTGTCACCCCTGGTCTGGTGTCCTCCGCGCCTCCAAATCCGTAAGTTTGGGGCTCTATCGAATTGACAGAATGAGATAGCCCTGTCAAATGCCCTGAACAGGAGAGAGTGTTTGACGAGGTATCTGCCGTCCTTTTGTGTGCTTTGTGGTTGCAGTTTTCTGGTGCGGGAGTATGAATCAGTGGTAGGATCTTCCGGTTATGCTTCATTGTTGAGCAGCTCTCCTGCACTTGCCTTGGAGATGTCACAGGCCCTCGCAACAAGGCTGAAGGCAATAAGTGGCCCGCGAACCTCTCGAAAGAGGCGAAATACGATGCAAGGAGGGGACATCCCTGGGCCAGGTGGTGGGGGAAACTTCAACTTTGTACATCAAGGATTCGGATTTTGAGCATTTGACTTTGACCTTCACAATCAGCATCTTATTTCTGACAAATACACCACTCGTCACCGTTGTATAATCTCCACCCTAGTTCTCCAACTGACGAGTCTGCCGCATGCTGTACCAGTTTCTTCCCCACTCCTGACAACTCCTCCCCTATCAAAGTTGTGCGAGACCCCTTCCATCCTTTGCGGTCTTTACTCGGTTTTCCTCTTCATTGCTCGCTTTCTCTGCCGGCCGTCCTGCCTCCCAGTTCGTACGCCTTGTCAAACATTCTGTTCTCTCTCTCTCTCTCTCTCTCTCTCTCTCTCTCTCTCTCTCTCTCTCTCTCTCCTCTCTCTCTCTCTCTCTCTCTCTCTCTCTCTCTCTCTCTCTCTCTCTCTGTGTGTGTGTGTGTGTGTGTGTGTGTGCATGTTGTGTGTGTGTGTGTGTGTGTGTGTGCTGTCTCTTATACACATCTAGATGTGTATAAGAGACAGGTGTGTGTGTGTGTGTGTGTGCATGTTGTGTGTGTGTGTGTGTGTGTGTGTGTGTGTGTTTGCGCACGCTCACAACTAATACGACCTCACTTTGTGTCGATTTCTATAGGCTGACTGATTTGTTTTCCCTTTTCAGGGAAGAAGAACGAGAAAAGTGGGGTCTGAAATGCTGCCAGCCTCTGTAGATTTGATTTCGCATTGAATTGTGACTCCAATTCCACATCCTTTTTCTTTTTGTTTTCGGGATAAGTGCACTTCTGCATGGACAGAGCAGTTAATCACCCGGGGGGGGCGGGGGGGGGGGGGTCCTCACGGGGGGCATGCGCACTCCACGACCTAGTTGCATTGACAAATTGTTTCTCAGTGGTTATCACTCATGTATGTACACCCATGTGCACTCTACGACGTAGTTGCATTGACAAATTGTTTCTAAGTGGTTATCACTCATGTATGTACACCCATGTGCACTCCACGACGTAGTTGCATTGACGGATTGTTTCTCGGTGGTTATCAGTCATGTATGTACACCCCAGTCCGAGCTTGTGAAGGGGGAAGGGGGGTGGGGGGGGGGGAGGGGTTGAGTTGGAGGTTATATTTTTCCTTGATTCAAAAACTTCAAAGACCTTTCAAGAGTGTTCTAGTTTCGTTTTTTTTCCAATTCAGCTCAGTGTGAAGTGAATTTTCACCTTAATTGAAAACTCTGTTTGTGTGAGTTCTCAGGGTGCTGCGCCCGGTTCCCAGCACGTGTTGCTCCCCACGAATAGATTGGAGCATCGTCCCGATAAAAAAAAAAAAAGAAAAAAAAAAGAAAAAGAGGGTTCTGAGAACTTCTGACTCTTTGGAGTTATTTGTTTTTCTCCTTTTCCCTTTTCCCCAGAAGTACACAGGCTTTATCTTCTTCGCAGCTTCTCAAGCTCCAAAATTTCTGCAGTGTTGTCTCAATCTGCTATCTGCTTTTGGGTCCATTCTCCATGCTGGGTTCGGTACACAAAACCGACAAGGGTGTGCGTTCAGATCATGAAGGACACAAAGGGTGAGAGTGACGATGTAGGAGGTAGGAATGACCGTGGGCAATATTTTCACTCGTCAGTGAAAGTTTTGGCATGCCAGTTGGCATCAGTTTGCATAGCATTCCACATAGGCGCCAAGCGGTCGTTTGGAAGGGAGTATACGACATGGAAGGGAGGAATATGTGTGTGTGTGTGTGTGTGTGTGTGTGTGTGTGTGTGTGTGTGTGTGTGTGTGTGTGTGAGAGAGAGAGAGAGAGAGAGAGAGAGAGAGA